GTGTGTGTGTGTGTGTGTGTGTGTGTGTGTGTGTGTGTGTGTGTGTGTGTGTGTACAGAGAGATGCAGTCATATCTGCTGTTTGATGAGTATCTAAGGTAATCTTCTGTGTTGCCCAGTTTGTGCAGAGGCCCAGTTTCTGTGCTCCGTGCTGTCAGAGGCAGCAGACGTGGGGCTGGCCCTGGATCTCGCTCCTGAGCTGACTCGCGCCGTCACCAACGTTATCTGTTCTCTCTGCTTCAACTCGTCCTACTGCCGAGGCGACTCGGAGTTTGAGACGATGCTGCAGTACAGCCAGGGCATCGTGGACACTGTGGCCAAAGACAGCCTGGTGGACATTTTCCCCTGGCTGCAGGTAAGCAGCAACAATCAGACCACAGTGTAAATGTAGCGATCAACAGAAAGATAAAGGCCGCCTCGTTGTGTTTCCTTAGTGGGATCACTGCCACTCTGGTGTTTCAGCACACTCAGCACATTTTGAGCGATGAGGAAGAAGGTTGGACTGTGATGTTCATCAGGCTGTTTTTGTCTTTATCACAGATCTTTCCTAACGCAGACCTACGTCTCCTGAAACACTGCGTTTCCGTCAGAGACAAACTTCTACAGAAGAAATTTGATGAACACAAGGTAACCCTGTAACCACAGGGCCATTAGTGTTTGAAGTTTAAAGGTAGTGTACAGTACAAACTGCTCTTTTAGTGACGTGTCCAGTACCTTATATACTTGGTTCCTTTCATTTGTACAAATGCATCGGCAACGTTTGAGGCAGAAGAATCACAGTGTTGTAGCAGAGCTGTGATCCTGTGCAGCTGTGAGACGGAGGACATCATAACACAGAGACATGCTTGACGACAGCGGTCACATTAGGTTGCTGTGCTAAACAAATACAAAGCCTTCTGCACACTGCACGCTGACGTGTTGCTCCCTCACAGGTGGATTACAACGACCACGTGCAGAGAGACTTGATAGACGCTCTGCTGAGAGCCAAGCGCAGTGCGGAGAACAACAACACATCAGAGATAAGTGCAGAGTCCGTGGGCCTGAGTGATGACCACATTCTCATGACAGTGGGAGACATCTTTGGCGCTGGCGTGGAAACCACTACCACTGTGCTCAAATGGGCCGTAGCGTACCTCATTCATCACCCAGAGGTAAGGCTCGATCAGCAGCAGTGTTTCCACGAGGTGCGTGGCGTGGCTTTCTCCTCGTCTCTGTCTGATGGGCAGGTGGTCTAAAACACGTTTCAAACTCTGAATCTAATTAAGTTTAAGCATCTTTTTACAAACTATACCTATGCAACATCATCAACACACACAAAGTATGAAGCGCCTTGAGGCGACTTTTGTTGTGATTTGGCGCTATATAAATAAAATTGAATTGAATTGAATTGAACAAAGTCATTAATAAACTCAGTTGTTGCCAAGAAAACCACAGCTGATGGTGGCTGCAGCTGATCAGGTTACTCACCTGCCCGCAGTGTGAATGTGAAAGCACACATATAAAACATGCCTCACAGCACATAAGTGATGGTAATCTTGAATTTAAAATATTGTTGCTCACCTTTAAAATTATAAATAATTTAGCCCCTCGTTATCTTGCAGATCTTCTTAGTCTACATGTCCCTGGGCGAGCCCTCAGGTCTTCAGCCCAATTACTCCTGGCTCAGCCTGGATCTAGACTTAAATCTAGG